GGGTGGTTGTAATTTAACGACAGCGATTCGCAATGAAGTATATTTCATAAGGCGAGGTTTAAAAAATAATTATCTTAATAATAGTTTAATTACTATAAGAACTTGAAACAATTATTTAGTAAAGACGTTAAATCAATGAAAATGTTAGGCTTTATTTTGTTTTAACCAACGTAGCACCCATTTTTGCACTAGATATATGTGAAATGTAAATTTTAATGAAAAAAATAGGTATTTAATCAGACTAGCTATTTGAAATTGACGCACAAATAAAACAGGTGATTTTACAATAATTGTATCTACATTATTTTAACTATATGCCACATCTGAGAATGTTTGTGAGAAGTTAAAAAAAACATTTTGCAACTAGAATATTTAATAGAATTTAATTGCGTAAAATTATCATTTTCATGGATGAATAAAGATCTTATTATTAAAAGACACTGCGAGTATGTTATGGGTTTAATAATTATTTACTTGTACAATAATAATTAGAGGCATTGCGAACGTATGAAATAAAATATGTTTTTTTTTAATTGGACCAAACCAAGGTTGTTTATTGTGTCACACTATAATCGCTGTCACGTATACTACTGTAGCGCAAAAATGTATAGGAAAAAGGGTCTAATTACTTTCAGTATTCGAAAAAAATTAAAAAGTTCGTAAAATAATTCAAATTGCTGGTAAAATTTCTTTGATTATATTTTTCGTTGAAAACTATTTAAAATTTTTTTATAAATATCATTTATCGTCACACTTTTAATATTATGTGATTCGGTTGTAAAATTAAAACACGTATAGAAAAAACGTAGTGACCTTCTCCCGTACATACAGTCCCTATACAACGCTACAACTACTACCTCCTCGGGTTACGTTTAAATCGTGATGGTTTAAAAATTTTCGTGCAAACATGATTGGGTCGATGTTTTGAAACGATACATGTATAATATTAATACGCAGGAGGTAAATATTAAAATATATTTACTGATCAGCCGCGGACACACGAAATCGATGCGGAAATCGGTCAGTACCTATACATATACACATCGTTAAAAAGTTATCGTTTTATCGTCCCGAGAGCGAACGCTATAGTACTGCGTCAACCCGAGAAAACTGTATGATAGTAATAATAATAACGTAATTTACGTAATCTAAACGAGACGTATCATACTGAATAACACATCGGTCACATCGTGTTCTTTACGCGTATAAAAAGCGTGTAAAAATGTTGTAATAATAAGGTCTGACTTATAATTGCCAACGGTTATTATCCGAATAGTCGAGTTGAAATATCTCTAGGAAAAAAAGAATCGGAAATATAGGTACGCTGCTGCACAGGAAAAGCATAACATGTTCGTTAAAAACGTCTCCAAGAAAACGGTTAAAAGTAATAATAATAAAAAAATACGTTTCTCGTCGGCGAGCCGTTAAATAGAAGATTTCGGGGGTGTTTGACACAATCGGACGATTTAAAACGCAATCAACTACACGTTAATGACAAGGCCGCGTAACAAGTGCGAGCGCGGGTGGGACGTGTGGTGTAGGTACGGTGGGGGCGTAGTGGCGGAGTACGACATGTGGTGAAACCGTTGCGGGGGGCAGATGCGCGGCTCTCTCAACTGCCGCCGCCGTCAACGGACGCGAAATACACCCACCACTGTACACATTGTATAATAATATGTAATACACACACATACACATACATACACGTATACCTATATAATAGTACGTACACGTATATAGTGTATACAGTAATAATAATGTGACTACTGTACAACGGAAAAAAAAAACATACTATTTTCATTATCTTCACCCATTGTTCTTGAGGAAGCACGCTTCTTCGTACAAATGGATAGTATTGGACGAAAAAAAAGTCCGTTAAAAATAATTACGACTTTCGACGGTTATTTTATTATTATTATTTTTTTTTTCTTTTGCTTTCTAGTTTTGAGATGACCACATTTTGTATTCGGCCGTCGGCCTCCGTCGTATTTTTTACACTCAAAGGCACCAGTAATCAAAAAAAAAAAAATTATACTTTAAGCCACTAAGTACAGGTTTGCACTCCACGTTTAGAGTAAATCATTCATTTTGATATTATCTAAATTCACAACACTGAGATCGATATTACATTAATTTTTTAAGTGTTTTGCTAAATTAGTGTATAATATAATTATTGTACATTGAGTTAAAAGTTTAATGAGTTTATACACTTTAAACATCGTGTATACACAGATTACGTATCTCGGGTAAAATTTTAAGATAATCTAAGTCTAACTCTCCGAAACGAGTTACAATATATTTAGGGACATTTTGAATAAGCACCACCCTTCATGATAAGAGTTTGCTGTACGATTAGAACGTGATGTTTACGAACCAAAGAGGTTACTGTATATATAGGTAATTTATATTTCAAATGTTCTTTATGTTTTATCATCATAGTTTCTGTTAAAATTGAGTTTGATATTAAAAAAATTTTAATAAGACTATAAAATGATGGTATAACACGAGTATAACGACTATGTCGTTTTACGGAGGATGAGAAGAAGAAAAACGGTAGATGTGTAGGCAAATAGAGTTTAGAATGTATATTATAAGTGCTTACTAAGCAGTTGAGAAAAGCCTCGTTGTCGGTGACACGGTAAAACAATACTAAGCGGCGATCCGGATTTAATAACTGGTCCATGCTAATACTCTAGTGTGTGTCCGGTCGTGATGATGAATATTTAAACGTAGAATTTTTTCCTACTATATCTTTACATCTCTCCCTCTTTCTCTCTCCGTCTTACTACATACATCCTTCTCTCTTTATCTTTTCGTTGTTTAATCAATCCAGACGGCCCTCAATGAGCGCCGGCGAATCGCCGAGCACGATCTCATGAATAATTCACCTGCGGTCCTCCGCACACACCCGCACCCTTCGCTAAACTTTAGCCTTCCTATGCTAATTTCGTAACTGGAACTACTACTGTTCAGCAACAGCATCAGCAGCGCTACACTATGTACGTGTACGCACATAATAATAACGCTATATGTATATATAATAATATTATAATGTGTGTATGTTTGTATATGTTCAATTAATGTATCTGTCTCGTGTATCATAACCAATAAGCCACCGGCAGTCTTGACCTAGGGCATTGTGAGCAAATTCCTCGGCGCGTGTACCTATATACAGATACATGGTGCATTATATCAATACGACATACCGCTAGTGTGTATATTATACCGATTATAACTATAGAAAAGAAAAATATATTGGTTCAATATAGGTACGCACATATTGTTATTATTCTTCTTATTATTATTCATACAAAACCGACACTGCAACCGCGCATAAACCATACAAAACGAATAACAATCTAATGAACTGTTGAAAACAAATCAATCAGATGATAATTGAGCTTAGACACACTCCTTTACACGCTTGGCGCAATATTTGTCATAGTTGGAATAAATGACGCAAATCGTAAAAAAAATAAATGTAATTAAGAATGTGAAAATCACTTTTTAACGAAACAATCTAGTTGTTATATTATATTTTATAGTCTTTAAGCGATGTAGGCATATTGTAGGAAAAGATAACGATTAATCCTTTGGGCATGTGTATTATTATAATATTACAGTCTAGTTTTACAATGTCATTTATACGATATGGTGACGATGACGACAACGACAACGGTAGACTTAGTTAACGTTAAGTGTTGCACTACGGTCGCATTTCACTTTACGAGCCGCGTTTGAATATGTTGACGTTATTTAGTTCGAAATTCGAATTCTGGAAATTACAATTATTACAGTCTCGTTCGAACTTTACATATTTAAAAATATCTTATACCACTACAAATAATGTGTTCAACGAATTGGAAGAAAATAGTGGTTTTTTTTTAACTACTATCTAAATTTATCAATAGAAGTGAAAACGACAATTATTGTTCAACCTATACAAAATAATTATGATATGAATAATGTTACAATGAATACTATTTAAATAATTTCTCTCAAAGCCTGCCTTCTATACTAATATAATAATATATATTATATACTATTTAGTATTTACCATTTCATCTGATTGAGTACTTATATTTAGTAAGTTATATATTTTTTATAATAAATATTTTGTATTACTATCATAGTACCATTGTATGTCAAATGGTATCGAGCGATTCTCATAAGTAAAGACGACACCTGTTGTCCAACTCCAACCCATATGTTACATGCGAATTAATCGAATCGTGTCTAGTCCATCACATATACACACACACACACTCCCGAGCGTACACGGTATTTCCATTATATTATGCTACAATATTCTAACATTTCCAACACGGCGTTCGTAAAATCATATAATATATTGTTTAAAAAATAAATATGTGTATACACATACGGACATAGGCGGCGGCGACGACAACAATTTATCGGCCGCCTTTTATATTATTTTATACGTGAATGCAGGTCTATAGACTGCGGTATTATATATTATATTATATTATTATAATATATGTTTCGCGCGTGCCTCCTTCACCCAGCTATATTACATTAGTCGTGATCGACTGGTTTGATCACCGCCCGTCCTGGAGATCTCGATTGGATTATATTATTATTATGCACAAGTACAATCTATAACTTTAAACGCCAAGAAACATGATGTGCCATGGCTATCCCACCTCGTGATATTGTTAAATTCATATTGTGTATAAGTATACGACAAAATACTTATATTTGGGGAAAGGTCATCAAGTTGTAATACGTATAACTTTATTGCAAAGGAAATCATATGAGTGTTTATATAGTAGATAAGTGAATGCATAAAAAATTTAAATGTATACATTTTTTTTTTTAATTTGGCGATATCAGGTTGAATCCCTTCCCCAAATATACGTGCTTAGACTGTATGTAATATAATATAATTCATCGCAACCTACACCAAACTCTAAACGATATTAAATTATACGCAAGTACTCGACCGATTTATTTACGATATGTTTTATTTGTGCACTTACCTTCTTGTGAAAAACCGTTGACGCTGCTACTGCTACTAATGTTTCCCGATCCCACTAAAAAATAAACAAAAAAAAAAAAAAAAAAAATACAAGAAATTAATGTCTCTGAATTAATCTATTTGTGGATTTTATATATTGCAACTTTATCCCAAATTAGGTTTCAAAAATAATATCAATTGAGTACTTTTCAAAAAAAAGAAAAAAAAATCAAGTGTAAAGTATTTTGTTTCTAAACGTATAATATATTTTCCAATGGCAAGAATGTTAATTTATATCCTCAAAGTATTTACTTTTTTACTAAGGAAATGTGTAAGTTAAAGCTGCAGCTTATTACATTACCAGGATTTGTGACATCGCTGATTGAAGGGCGAAGTAATTTGTTAATATTATATTAACAATGAATTTTTCATACGAAATAATAATTCATGATTATTGACGATAGTATAATATAATTATAAGATCAGTAATAATTTTAGTAAAAATACTCTATGTAATTTTTACTTACCATCATCGTGGTGCATCTGCTGTTGTGTCTGATGCATAAGACCTTGCGTGTGCATCTGATGTTGTGGCATATTGTGAGGGTGCAAGGAGCCCCCATGGTGCCCCAAACCTAGTTCCATTCCAATCATAACCCCTTCCACGATGTCATTCACCTTGTCTGAAAAAAATAATTATATTTCGATTAAATTCTATTGAGATAGTACAATAATTGAAAATAGTTTGTCACGTGCATAGATTTATTTTTATATAATATTTATAAACTATTTTGTATATAATCACCAATAATGCTTTTAATTATAATTTTCTATTTATAATTTGTAACATAGTTTTTTGTGATTTTATTTTTCATGGACCTCAGTGAACATATTCGTTTTATATTTAAAAATTAAACACAAGTTTGAAAAACATTTAGTAATATTATAAACGGATAGAGCTTAATATTATTCGATTTTTATCGGTTCTGATTACCTATAATTTATTTTGTTGATCTAATTTAGGTTTAGTTTACGACTTTATATACCTAGGTATTTAAAGTCGTATATCAGTAACATAATACGTAATTAAAATATGCAAATTCTCTAACTTAAAACAGGTGCAAATAGTTTAAACTGATTGTTGACAGCTGTCTTTGACCGTAGAAGGTTATTCAATCGTATTTTGAACCCTCGATAGGTGTTTTAGTAGGAGATTTTTGCTTTGTCATCGTGTCATTACAATCATTAGGTACAAACGGTCAATAGTTTTCGCTATCCCGGTGGCCTGCGCGCTCATTGATAGTCTACCACGTTCTTATTTGTTCTTCGACTCGCACCGTGATATACACACATGTCACATATGCATGCATCCTGTGTTTTAATTCTCCAATTTTTTTCTCGGATTATTTTCGTAACATAAATTATCAATATTTTTTTACCCTCGAAATCGTATTTAAAAATTATTATTATTTTGGTTGCCGACATAGACGCTTATATATGCTTCGTTTATATACATCATATTTTATAAATAGCAAGGCAGGTACACCATTTATACTATATTATTATATAGCATTTTTTATCGGGATAGGATATATATTATATTATTGTAACGACCGCGTTTATGTAAATGTTCTGAGTCGTGCGGATAAGTACACTGTGAAAGAAACGAAAAAGTGTGAAAATTGAAGCTCGTGATGACGCTAGCGGTCAACCACTGTGGGGTGTCATCTCTGCGGCGTGCGCGTGTGCGTATAAATCTCGATCACGCGGGTCCGGTCAGAATCGTGGCTTGATATTCTTCCAATACACCGGGTCATCTCGCGTTGTGTGTGTTTGATAACACGAAACCAACATGAAGGAATGAGAACAGAAAAAAGCAAGAAAAAAAAATGAAGAAATGAGGTAAAAAATAAAATAAAAGAATAATATAAAAGAAGGAAAAATTCCCGTGAAGCTACGCACATCGGGCCCGTTATGCTCACGTGTGTCACTGCACGAATACAGAATCCAGTGACAATCAGTTCGTGGGTATCTCTCAATAAAATTATCTCAATACGAAAAGCCTATTCAAGCGTCTCTTCGAATTTATACATTTTATACGTAGGTACCTTCACAGAGGAAAGTATTCACTATTGAACTGCTTACATATAATAAGTATAGGTGTAGGCATACATAGATAATTTAACTTTAGCGTATTTATAGATATTCATTTTTATAATTAATTATTTTGTTTTGAGAAGTCTGTATAATTTTTCAAGAGGATATAATAGCTTAACGTATAATATCTTATTAAATAATATTATATGACTGTTGCAATTAAGTACACCGATAATTTCAAGAATATCACATACATGGCAACGAACACGTACATGGACGCCGGTCATCAAATAACTACAAACGGACTATCTAGACGATTTAAATAGCGAAGTTTAACTTTTTATCGTTAAGTCCACTAAGCAATTGGTAGGGAATGGTCGTACCTATACCATTTCTGCAGTAAAATATATACAGTCCGAAATCATATTATCTTCTTGCGAGGTATCATTTCGCGTTGGCATTTTTCTCACGTGCCTCATATAAATCGAGTTTTATCTACCGCGCGATGTATATATTATAATACTCAGACGAAAACAAATGTACGAGAGTGGCGGTGAGCGTGTGTCCGGCGTGCGAGACGAGCCGGTGCGATCTATATAAATAACAATATTATTATAATTTAATACCGCCAAATAAGAGGAGGAGGCGAGACGCGGACGGTAATAAGAATGCCGATCGCGGTCGTGGAGACACGCGCTCGCGCGAGAGAATATAGTAATAATACCAACGCTCCGAGTATAGTTTGGGTTTGATTTGTCCACGAGATGCGTCCGACAAAACCGCCTTAATGCGTGCACGTTGTATATCACACTCCGACTTTATTATATGGTATACCTTTACCAATGTATATTTATATATAAATATATAATATATTAAACCTACTTAAATTATTCCTATTGTTGTTGTTATCATTATTACTAATGTTTGTGTTTTATCGTTTTGATAATGTGTCAAAGGAGTGTACGACGTGATTTGTGCGAAAACCCACGAAGCGTTCGACAGGTGCTGAGAATGTGGACACGAAATATATTATTGTATTATAACTATTATTATCGCCACAGACAGTATTACTGCGGCGTGTATTATCATATCAATACTAGTATCGATGTGATGGCACAGGTTGGAAGGTCTAAACCTGAACTCTATAGTTTCGGTCAGTCCGACGGCCTATTTGCCACGATGGCTGGGCCCGTGCACTACTGCAATAGTATACGAGTACATCATAATATAATAATATACGATGTGCCGTACGTAAGTACCTATATCACATATAATATATCCTCATAAATATATATATATATATATATAAATATATATGATATGTTACGCGGCTCAACAGTTGACTTTCAAAGACTTATTTTTTCGTTTTTTTTTCACGTACCGCGTATATAGGTATACGATCACACACTGCAACTATAATATTACGATACAGTAATAATAATATCATGACCACTCGCGTGTTGTAAAACCGCGTTGACATTATACATTCACATAGACAGAAGAATAGAAATTTAACCTCATTTTTTTTTTTTTTTAACCGCTTTATCAATCATGAAATCGGAATAATATTTGCGTTTTTCTGTGCAAACAGGGGAAAAAAATTAAGAGAACGACGACAAAATGAAATAAATCATTGCTTTCGCGGAGTAAACTCGGATGAACCGACAACAACGTGGTACATGTATATGTGCGTAAAAAAAACAATGTAACGCGTGCACGCGCAGTGCTACAAGTCGCGTTCCTCCTACCTTATAATAAATCGTTGTCGAAGTAAACGTCGCTGCGAAAGGCCGTCTGTTTATACGTCGGTTGCCGATGACGATTCTATTCCCATATACAAACACTTAAATATATAATAATTATTATTATAATATTTCATTTGTTTGAATTTTAAATGAAAACACCGATAATATTATATTATATTTGCACACTGGTGTAATATTATAGCTATATAATAGCACAGCACAGGCAAAAACTATTCTCAATAAATACATAATGATATTATACTTTATATTTAAAAATAAATAAAATATGCAATCAGAATTTATAATATAGTATTGTCACTACTATACTTTAAGAGTACTGTGTATAATCTATTGACTTAGCGCGTGTTCACAGCTCCGTGACCGTAATAATAATAATAATAATAATATAACTTTTCGACGTACGCAGGAGGTTATAATCATTTATTCGTATATATATGAGTATAATATGATGTATGAATAATACCTTAACGAAATACATATACATATTGGCAAACATCTATATATGCATAAACACTTTGGCGTGTAGTACGCATTCGACGCAATATACTTATTCGTGTAGGTAAGCGTCGCAGTTATTTTGCCGCCGCTTGTACTTGAATCATATTATGAGAAAAGCGCGTACTATCAAATAGATTCAATAGGCGCACGATAGACAGAATATTATTGAAAACGTATACAGACATTTATTTCTTTAGATTCATAGTGAACATTAAGTAAAATAATATTTATATTAGTTAAATTATACTTATTTCGTGCAAAATGCCGTTTCTAGATTACATAAAGTGTGTACTGTTGAATCGTTTACTTGATTTTCAACGCTATAACCATGAATAATATTTAAAAATAATTTATTGTCGTTGCAAACAAATTGGTCTATTTTAAATAACTTATAATAGTATATTAACTATTAAGTATTATTTTGGTTACGTAACCTAAAATTCCTATTGTTAGTTTTAGTTAAAATTGTATGTTATTATCGGCAATGACAATATTTATATAAAAAAAAAAAATGTTGTATCGTAATTGAACTTGTTAATGTAATGACATGAAATTAATTGAATACTGCGTTGGATTTCATGTATGTTTTAATGATAAACTTAAATCAATAAAAACCTTATTTTGGAATGTAAGAGTAAAAAAAACTACATAAATGCATTCTAGATTGTTACAGTAAAAATCATAAACAATATTTTTGAACATTTATTGAAGATTGAAAAAAAAATATGGAATTTATTATATGTAAATAATGGTGATCTAGCTATTTAAAAAAAATAAATATATAACAATTTACAATAATTCCAAAGATAATTCTGATCGATTACGGCAAAATTGAACCTTGTGATTTTCTATAGTTTTGGAAATTGTATTTGTACTATTTTTTAAGGACGCTCGGCATTAAATTTAGCTAATTTCGTATTAGAAGAAAAAACGGTTATCCTTCATTTTTTCACTTAACTATAAAATCTATTTTAGCTGATAATTATAGTTGGAAGCTGTTTATTTATGGATTTAAATATATATAGTAATACATGCTATAATTATTTTATTTTGTTATGTAAAAAACATTTTTCTCTAATATAGCAACTTCCCTAATAAATTATGTATAAACTCTATTTATAATACTAGTAATTTGTTTTAAATTACTACACATACTTAGAATTATTGCTATAGAAACAACACTCAAGCAAGTACAGGGAAAAATATGTCTACCCTATTAATAAAAGAATACTAGAAATATTTTAACGAATAACTAATTGAATATAGTTTTATCTAATTTTTAAATATAATAAATATTTTTTTTAATTTTTAGTACCTATTAT